GCTGACCTTCAGAGAGGCTGACCTTCAGACCGGCTGACCTTCAGACCGGCTGACCTTCAGAGAGGCTGACCTTCAGACCGGCTGACCTTCAGAGGCGTCTGCGCAGCGGCCTGATGCTCATGATTGTTTAGAGCTTCGCCGTGCAGTGAAGCTAACGACGGGCCTTCAGGGAGGGGGGGTGAAACCAGGCGGGAAGAGCAGCTTTTCCTGCCTGGTTGAAACCAGGTGAGCGAACTGAGAGACAACATGGCTGCTCCCAGAGACAGACCTTCATTAAAAGCACAGAATGCACTTTAACAAGCGTGAAAACCAAGGAGAGACGGATCTAGAATGGCTCTGCATGCAGATCTATTCTCATTTTAAGGCGTTTTCTATGTTCCTGCAAACATTAGATTCAGGAGCAGCAGCAGTTTTGTCTCTCAGGTCTCGCACCTTCTCCTTTTCCTCACAATGTTTTCATAGTTTCTGAAAAGATTTGCACAAATTTAAAGATAAATATTCCGTTTCCATGTGACCCGAGGCTCCTCCTCCTCCATGGAGGAGGAATCAGCTGACAGGGAGGAGCTCCTCCTCCTCCTCCATGGAGGAGGAATCAGCTGACAGGGAGGAGCTCCTCCTCCTCCCTGTCAGCTGATTCCTCCTCTTCAGTTAGTTTGATTTTTATCCTGCTGTCTCTAAGCTCCCCTGAAATGGTCGTTATGACGACGTCTGGCATCGTTGGTCCATGGAGACATGAGCTGGACAAGACTTCCTGAGAGGACAAACTGTCCTCATCCTGTCCCATCCTCGTCCCATCCTCGTCCTGTCCCATCCTCGTCCTGTCCCATGCTCGTCCTGTCCTCGTCCTCACTCCGTCCTGTCCCCGTCCTGTCCTCGTCCTGTCCTCGTCCTGTCCCATGCTCGTCCTGTCCTCGTCCTCACTCCGTCCTCACCCCGTCCTGTCCTCGTCCTGTCCTCGTCCTGTCCCATGCTCGTCCTGTCCTCGTCCTCACTCCGTCCTGTCCTCATCCCGTCCCCGTCCTGCGCCCTCAGAGGACCGTCGGCGTGTTGTTGTCGGTTTTATTGAATCGTATCGATGAATTCTGGGTTGAAGCTTCTAGTTTTTCTTCATGAAATTCAAACCTTTTTTATTCACATTTATTTTATTTTTTTTCTATTGTGTCTAAATGTTTGAGCTGTTTTTATTGTGTTTATCAGAATGTGCATTTCTATGATCTATTCTACCTGTATTGCATTTTGTCTTTATCAGCATAATTATTGACTTTTAAAAACATGATCTTTCAACTGAAAGGAAAAAAAAAATGAATATGTGAAAAAGAATAAATAATAATTTGTATATTTGACTCCTTTCTTGCCACAAACATGCAGGACGGATGATTCCAGATCAGCATCTAGAAGCTGATCTTCTGGTTTTCAGACCAGTTTGAAGGAACAGATTGAAACAAACCGGCTGATCAGGATCTGATGATCCGGTTTCATCCTTTGTTATAAGTGAGTCAAAGCAAAGAGCCAGAGCAGATCTGGAAAGTTCAGATCTAGCTGATTAAATCTGTCTCTATGTGACAGAAGCTAAAAGTGTAAAAATGAAATAAAACTGGAGGAATATTTTGTTTCCAGTTTTGCTTCCGGCTCATATTACAGATTATTTATCATCAATCTTTACTCCTTTGGTTCGGGGGCCCCTGGGCCCCTGTACAGAAACTAGTCCAAACAGGTTGCTAATTTTCCGTCAGCACCCAAACGCATCAGACGGTTTACCTGAAACTAGGTGTCCCAGGCCCCGCCCCTTCGCGCGCTCCCGGTATCTAAGCGGAAGAAGCGCAGAAGGAGCCGCTCTCTGCCGCACAGACGTTTGGACCGAAGCTCAACATGCTGATCAAAGAGTTGTAAGTTTGATTTCCTCTTTCTAACGTCTCACCTCAGGACAGAACGGGTTAAAACTCAGCCTAAAACTGAACCTAAAACTGGTTCTAAACTCTATCAATGAACTTCTCCTTTAAAAGCAGCTTCTATTTACCACTTTCTATCTGAAAAGGCAGAACTTCCTTCATTTTCCTCGTTTTTTAGCTGATTTCTCATTTTTCATGCCTGAAGTGGAAACTGTTCCTAAATAAGCGCGTTTTGGACTCACGGCTGAAGCTCTGAGGATTCGGTTCGGATGAACAGAACCGAGCCGAACCTGCGGCTCATGGAGGAGGAAGAGGAGGAGGATGAAGGCTGTTTTCCAGATTATTTCCTCTGCAGCTGAAACTCTTCCTCCGCCGATAAGGAGTTTTAGTCACACATTAAATAAACACACCCTGATGTTTATTGACTTAATATTTCCTCGTCATATGAACATCATCTGTGCACCAGTGTGTGTCATCTGACCGTGGTGCAAAGTGCACCTGCAGCTTCAGTTCACTTATCACCTGCCTGCAGACAGAGGAATGCTGGATGACCTGGAGTGACCTTTCTATTCCCTCTGTTCTGCTTTGGTCCAACCAGCAGCAGCCTGATGCCTTTAAAGCTCACCTTCCATCCTGATCTCTGCTTATGAAATATTCAGGCTGCGCTGAAAACACCTGCTAGACTATTGGATGGAGGCACAGAGCGCCCGGCGGCGGCTGCAGGTTCCCACCCAGAGCTGCAGGCTGGTTGGTTCCCAAAAACCTTCAAAACGATCCTCTGGACTTTGGGTTAGACTCCAGTAGAAGATCTTCTGCTCAAATCTACTTT